CACTTTCAGGGAGCTACCGTCTTGCAACCCAAGGTCTCTCTGTGTATCAGTACTCTTAAGCGTCCTCCCATTTACTGTATATTTTCCTGTTGCATTTGAATTCCCACAATGCATCACTTCACACTTGTTCAGATTAAACTCCATCTGCCATTTCCCTGCCCAACTTTCCAACCAACTATATCTTGCTGTATCCTTTGGCAACCTTCCTCAATATCCACAACTCCACCAATCTCCATGTTGTCAGGACTAATCAGACCTCCTACATTTTCATCCAAATCATTTGTATAAATTCCTAACAACAGAGGTCCCAGCACTGATCCTTGCAGAACACCACTGGTCACAGACCTCCAATCAAAAAAACACCCCTCCACAACTATTCTTTGTCTTCTATGACCAAGCCAATTTTGTATCCAACTTACCAACTCACCATGAATCCCATATCACTTAGGCTTCTGGACTAACCTGACGTGAAGGATCTCATCAAATGCTTTAATAAAATCCATGTAGACAACATCAACTACCCTACCCTCATCCTTCATCACTTCCTCAAAATCTCAATAAAATTTGTGAGCTAGGACCTCCTACACACAAAACCATGTTAACTTTCCCTGGTAAGTCCATTATTTTCTTGATGCGAGTAAATCCTGTCCCTAAGAATCTTCTCCAACAATTTTCCTATCACTATATAAGGCTCACCATCTTATAATTTCCTAGATTATCTCTGTTACCTTTCTTAAACAAAGGAACAACATTGACGATTCTTCAATCTTCTGGGACTTTGCGTGCAGCTAAAGAGGATACAAAGATCCCTGCAAAAGCCCCAGAAATCTCCTTGCGTCCCTCAGAATCCTGGGACAGATCCCATCAGGCCCTTAATGTTTTTAAAGACACCCATCACTACCTCCTTCTTAATGTCAACATGCCCTAGAATATCAACATAACCCTCCCTAATCTTATCATTATTTGTGACCTTCTCCTTGCTGAATACCAATGTGAAGTACTCATTAAGGACCTCACCGACTTCCTTGACTCCATGCATATATTTCCAGCTTTGTCCTTGCTTTGAATCCACCCTATTCTAGCTACCCTCTTGGTCTTATGTATAAAATGCCTTGGGATTTTCCTTAATCCTACTCACCAAGAACATTACATGGCCCCATTTAGCCCTCCTAATTCCTTGTTTAAGTTTTTTCCTGCTTCCTCAATGGATCATTGCCCAAAGGTCTGATATGGCTTCTTTCCTAGTTGGACTATCTACATGTTGTTTCAAGAAACCTTCAAGATGTACCTAACAAACCATGCCCTGTCTAAGCCTCTGGAATTAAGGGAGTCCCCATCAATATTATGGAAATTAAAATCCCCACTACAACCATGCTGTTGTTTTTACATCTTTCCATGATCTGCCTACATATTTGTTCCCAAGTCCTGCTGGCTATTGGGAAACCTATAATATAACCCCAGTGTAGTGATTGCCCCTTTTTTTTCTGAGGTCTATCCACCTGGCCTCGCTGGATGAGCCCTCAAAGGTATCCTCTATGACATTCTCCTTAATCAAAAATGCAACTGCCCCACCCCTTGTTACAGCCCTCTCTATTTCACTTGAAACATTTGAAACCTGAAACATTGAGCTGCCAGTCCTGTTGTCCTTACAACCAAGTTTCTGTAATGGCTACACCATCGTAGCTCCATGTACTAATCCAGGCTCTAAGCTCATCTGCCTTACCTGCATTATTCCTTGCATTGAAATAAATACACTTCAGACCGCCAGTCCCACTGTGTGCATTAACCAGGCACTGCTTGTTCCTCCTTTTAGATTTACTTGACTTAACCGCTACTTTCTTATCGGTCGCTACACGTGCTGACCTACCGATCTGGTTCCCAAACCCCTGCCACACTTACCTTAAAGCAGCTTTGTACTTCATTCATTTTGCTGAAAGACCCATTGATGGCTATCACATGTTATGCCACATGATGTCCTCTGTATGTTGTGTCTTAAACTTCCTCTCATCAACTTCACGAGAAAGTCCATATCTCCTCCTTGATCCCATGCACTAATTTATAAAATATGTAAACACGTGAGTATAACATTTTTTAACAGGGATTTTCTTCAGGTTATCTTGAGGATTACTTTTGATTTTTATGGTTTCTCTTTTCATTCTCAATAACTCCTTCAATAGGTAATACAGTCACAGCATATTCTTCTTGAATTTCTTTTCAGGTTTCCTTCAGGTTAATATAAAAGACTGTAATATATATATTGGAATTTGCCGAAGGCCTCATCATGCCTTCATTACCGCTAGACTCAACTATTCCCACATACTCATATTCTCCCAAATTTACCTTCATAATTTTGAAATTGTACAGAAGTCTGTTATCCATGTCTTAAACCGTTGCAGACTCCATTCCCCTATCTCCCCTGTGCTCATTGACCTATACTGGCTCCCAAGAAGGAAATATTTTCATTTTAAAAAACACTCATAAGACCCTAAGATTTTCATCTGTGGTTTCAACAATTTTCTTGGCTTTATTCTAACTCAAATAATTTTGCTTTCTTTCATTACTCTATTTAATCTGATGCATTGGAAGACATGTGACAAGTAAACAAATAGCAGTGGAACAGGTAGAAAGTGCTCCCCTCTCAGCAATGAAGTGTGTAGTTCTTGCAGTAGAGTCATACAGCACGGAATTGAGATGTTGGAAGAAGGCAAGAAAAGAAGTCCACAGATGCTTAGGTAGATATTTTCAGATACAGCCAGACTAAACGGAATAAAATGTTATCTCTCCTGAGGGGACAGAAATTGTTGCCAGGCATACTTAGGAGATCAGAAGCATAAAAGTAGCCAAGCTTCTCCCTTTGCACCCATTCTTGTGCTGTTTCTACTGCTTCAAAGCGACATGACAAACTACATGTTTCTTTCACAACATGCACAGACTATCTCCCAATGTGTGCAATTTATTTATGATCACAAGGAAAGTATATGCTATTTATGATGCATCTAATTGTAATCATTTCACTTTTCAAAAAGGATTGACACTTCTAAACTAAATGAGGTAGCCGATGACATTCTCCTTTCAATGGGCCAGGTTTTCATCCATAATAGTAGGTGATGTCAGGAAATTTGCTGGCTAGATCTGCTTGCTTCAGGAGTAAATGCTACAAGTATGGGTTCTTTGTTACTGGGAATGGATGCTAACTACAGTCGAGTTAGCTGACCTTGAGAAATGTTCAGAGGCGGTCACAGAGACTGTTGGCTGCAGCGAATTAAGGATATGGCCCTTCACTCAATTTCTCCCCATGGTCACAGTTATATGCAAAAAAAGGCTGTAAAAAATGTCATACATTGATAACTTACCTCTATGTTTAAAAAAAAAGGTTGCATTTGCTGACAGCACAACTGTTGGGAACACACTCACAGCTCATGCAAACACAGTATATCTGGTGCCACTGCCTGTGACAGTGAGGAATTATGTACCGACTTCATACTTTTAAGTGTAGTTTTATTTAGTACAGCAGCCTACTTCTCCTGAAACAAATTGCACAATGACTGACCCAGAAGAGCTCGCAGAAAGAGCACTCACTGACCCACCCATTGCCTTATTCACTGCCTGACTCCCTGGACAAAGTGGCAAACCAGGCAGCAAGTGGAGCAGAGAAGGGAACAGAGACTGGTGTTGCAAGGGCAGCGGCAAGTAGGTCATTGAGGGGAGAAGAGAACCGGGCAGTGAAGGACAGGCAGCAACAATGGACTCGCAGTGATGTTATTTGCACTAGCTTCTGGATTCAGTATGGTGTGAACACATAATATGATGTCAGCTGCACTAACTTCTTGATCCTGAGCATTGGCAGGGGTTGCAACGTGAAAAAATTCCATTCCACTATGTCCAGTCGAAGTGTTAATCATCTGGACCCTTTAAAATCTCAATAGCTAAAGGTGCAAAACACTTGAAACCACTTAATCTTGTGTAGATAGGCATTGTGAGGCCATTTCCAACTCCATTTTAATTTAAACCCCCTCACCTTTGATGGTTCACATTGCTCTTAATGGACTTTGCACGTAAATTAATCAATCAGAAAACATGGGTGATTTAATGGTGCTGGTTTATAGATGGAAAAAAAATGGGTGATTTGTTGATGAACAAAGACAGTTCAGTTGTATGTAACAGCACTTCTGGTTATGAAAAAACATTTAAAAAAAAAAGAAGTTTATTGTGGGGCTGCTGTGGGACAGTTGTTGAGTCCCTGTCTCTGAGTCAGGAGACCTGGGTTTCAGTTCTACTTGCTCCAGAGTGTGTCAAAACATCTCTGAACAGGTTGATTAGAAAAAAAAATTGTAAAAATTGAAAGCAGAGGCTAGATAGATAAGGCTGTTGGTCAGTCAGGGGCTCGGGTGCTTCAGGAGACAAATAGTTATCTGGACTCTCCATTCATCACCTACAATTTCTTCAAACTATTGATCAAGGCTGCAGAAAAAATGTCTGATATATTATGCAAGCTTATTTCTCAACTGTCAATTTTCTGCTGGGTACTTTTTCTTTGTAAACTAACTTATTATTACCACCACAGCTACATAGCAGTATAAATGACAAAAAAACTGTCTCAGGGCACTACTCTGTGCTATGTTTTTCTTTAAAAGGCCAATATTTGGACGGCTGATCAAAAGATTAATTCAAGAAATGGATTTCTGTTGACAGCTTCCAAATTGTTGCATGACAAACTTTATCCCTACCCTTTCTGAAATGTAAGGCCAAGAAAATCATGTACAAAAACCCTGAAAATCACGTACAACTTTTTTTCTGAAAAAATAGCGACAAAATAAAAAGATCTGTGATTTTTTAATTACCTTAGGCTTTGGAGAAATGCATCTGCTGGATTTGAAGTATGCAATTACTGTCTGTCTCTTTGTCTTTACTCCCATAGAATATGAGAAAAATGTAAGAAAATTAGGATTCCTTTGGTTCATTGTAACTTTGCTGTTTTCCTTTTCATTTTACATTTGCAGAATGACAAAATAGTTGAACAACAACTTGTTATGGATCAACTCCAAGAAGAATTACAGCTCCTTAAAACTGAAAAAGTTTCAATTCATAGCAGAGGTTCCGAGGAAGTACCTTTAGCTGTGACCACAGCAAGAAGACCACACAGTGTACCATTATTAAAGATTCATCTTAAGTCTTTCAATGTAATACAGTCCAATCAAGCTACTCCCTGTACAGATTCTAGGAAGGTTTGTGTTCATTGATAGAAAATGAAACTTTCATATGATTAAACCTAAGGTATGTGGTGATGGTATTCAAATGAGATTAAAATATAAAAAAAGTGGGATTATTTTCACTCGGTGCTGGTGGAAACTTGGCTCACAACCACAAGTTGCTTTCTGAACACCTTTTAAGGATGAAATACCTCTTAATGTCTGCCTTGTCTGCTTCCTGCCAGTGCATGGGAGAAAGGGGTTTCAAAGTTAGGTTCTCCGATCTTTGTAATCTCTTTTGGGTTTCTCAATATTTTTCTGGGGTCAATAGTTTCACTTCAGTTTCCATGTCCCCTTGCCACCCCTCTGGACATAACTTTATGTACTGTTCCTTTTTAAATAACATCTCATTCCATGTTGAATGCTTCTATTGAACCTGCCTGAGTCTAGGGGTTTGTTGGGAGAGCAGAAGTCGATCTGATCTGTAATGGGAAATGTGGGGAGCAGTTCCAGAAAGACTGCATGGGGTTGAAGGAGATCAACTCTTAGGGATGAACAAGGGTCAAGGTGAAGCAGGAGAAGGAAGGATTGGGTTCAAAGCAGGTGAACATGGGATTGGCTCTTGGGTGGTAGTGAATGGGGGCAGGTCCAGGCATTTCAGATGATAACAGCTCCCTGCATGAAAAACAGACCTGATATAATTTTTGCTTCTTTGTAATTACCATAGGAACACAGAAACGTAGGAACAGGAGTAGGCCAGTTGGCCCATCGAGCCTGTTGCATCTTTCAATTAGATCATAGCTGATCAGCTACCTCATGACTATTTTCCCACGCTAACTCCTTATTCCTTGAAGTCATTCATCTTCAGAAATCTATTGATCCATAGCCTTCTGGGGTAGAGAATGCTAAAGTTTTACAACTCTCTGTATGTAGAAATGTATGTTATATAGCCTACCCTTACACTGAAATTATGTCAGAGATAGTAGGAACTGCAGATGCTGGAGAATCCGAGACAACAAGGTGCAGGGCTGGATGAACACAGCAGGCCAAGCAGCATCATAGGAGCAGAAAGGCTGACATTTCGGGCCTAGACCCTTCATCA